GGAGATCTGGAGTTCCAATCCAGTCTGAGTCATACAGCAAAACCCTGTTTTGTTTTTGTTTTGGCGGCACAGAAGTTTGAACTCAGAGCCTCATGATTGCTAAGCTGGAACTCACTTGAGCCATATCTCTAGCCCAGCTTTTCACTGGTTATTCTGGAAATATAGGCTCAAAGATTTTTCTGCCCAAGTTGGCTTTGCACTGTGATCCTTTGGATCCCAGCTACCTGAGTAGCTAGTATTACAAGTATAAACTAGTGGCACCAGCTTAAGGTCTCATTTTAAAAAATGGAAAACTCACTTGTTGAGGGCATAATTCCAGATCATAAAAAGAATTCCCTAAACAGTAATACAATTGCATGGTCACACATAATAGGAACTCAGACACTTTTAATGTCATGTAAATCAAAATTATATCAGCAGTGATAAGATTTGATTAAATACATTTTCCTGTGGCAAATTCTGCTGTCCAAAGTCTCTCCTAACTACTGCTACCATTATGCTAAATTTGAGGTATTAGGATTTACCAGAATAATGTGTTCATCTGTAAATAAATGTTGAATGTACAGATGTATTTTTTTTCTGGACCTAGGTAGGGCTTGAACTCAGGGCCTGGGCACTGTCCCTGAGCCTTTTTGTGCTCAAAGTTGGTGCTTTGCCACTTGAGCCACAGTGCCACTTCTGGCTTTTTCTGAGTAGTTTATTGGAAATAAGGTCTCAAGAATTTTCTTTCCAGGGCTGGCCTCAGATTTTAGCCTCCTAAGTAGCTGGGATTACAGGTGTGAGCCACTGGTGCCCAGTGGCTTAATTATTTAACAGTTTTTTGAATGAAAGCCTGTCACCTTCTAAGTATTGTCTGGTATAGAAAATAGGTTCTAAATGCAATCATGCTATTCAGTATACATTAGGTGGGAAATGAACTTGTGGGCAGGGATGGGAGGGGAAACTGGGGGAAGAAGGAATGGGTGACATTGTCTAAAACAAGAAATATACTTATTACCTGACTTATGAAATGGTAAACCCTGTGTACACACCTTAAAATAACAATTTTTTTTTTGTCAGTCATGGGGCTTGAACTCAGAGCCTAGGGACAAGTCCCTGAGCTGTTTTGCCTAAGGCTAGTGCTCTACCACTTAGAGCTACAGCTCTACTTCCAATTCTTTGGTAGTTAATTGGAGGTTAAGAGTCTCACAGACTTTCCTATCTGGGCTGGCTTTGAACCATGAACCTCAGATCTCAGTCTCCTGAATAGCTGAGATTACAGGCATTAGCTATGAGCACCCAGCAAGAAACATATTTAAAAAAGAAAACAGGGTCTCCTAACAAAGGGACTAGTCACAGGCATTATAAAAAAGGAGGAGGGGCTAGGAAGATGGCTCAGTGGTAGATTGCTTGCCTTGCATGCATGAGGCCCTGGGTTTGATTCCTGAGCACCACATAAGCAGAGCCGGAAGTGTCCCTGGGGCTCAAGTGGTAGAGCACTAGCCTTGAGCTGAAGAGCTGAGGGACAGTGCCAGGCCCAGAGTTCAGACCCCACAACCGACCAAAAAAAAAAAAAAAAATCAAGCCAGGCACTCTTTTCCTCCTATTTATCTATTTATTTATTTATTTTGTCGGTCATGGGGCCTGAACTCTGGGCTGGGCACTGTCCTCAGCTCTTCAGCTCAAGGCTAGTGCTCTACCATTTGAGCCACAATGCCACTTCTAGTTTTCTGAGTGGTTTATTGGAGCTAAGAGCCTCACAGACTTTCCTTCTTGGGCTTTCTTTGAACTTTGATCCTCAAATCTCTGCTTCTTGAGTAGCCAGGATTACAGGCATGAGCCACCAGCGCCCGACTGGCTTGGTATTTTATCAATTGTTGTCTTGGCTTCAAAAAATAGTGAACACCCAGAATATTTCATAACCACCATTGTGTACATGAGGCCAAAGACAACTGTTAATATATTTTTTGGGTTTTCTTTTTTTTCTTTTTTTTTTTTTTTGGTTGTGGGGCTTCAGCTACTCTGGGTCTGGGTGTTGTCCCTGAGCTCTTCAGCTCAAGGCACCACTTCTGGTTTTCTGGTAGTTAATTGGAGATAAGTCTCACAGACTTTCCTGCCCCAGCTGGCTTTGAACAGTAATCCTCAGAGCTCAGCCTCCTAAGTAGCTAGGATTATAGTCACGAGCCACCGGCACCTGGCATGAATTTTCTTTTTCTTGTTGGGCTAGCCTTGACACAGTCCCTTAGCTTTTAAACTCGAGGCTGGCACTTCACCAATTGAGCCACAACTCAAATTCTAGCCTTCTGCTAATCAGTCTCATAGACCTTCCTAACCAGGCTAGATTTGAACCTTGATTGTTGAGACTTGTAAATTTCAGCCTCCTGAGTAACTAGGATTACAGGCTGTTAGGCAGGCTTCTCTGCTGTTTCTGTATTTTTAATGACAACTGGACTCAGAACATAGGGTAAGAATGTGAGGATACATTGTTTCTCTTTCCCTTACAACTGTTGTAAATACCCAATGTACTCAAAATTTTGCCTGAGTATGTGTGTTTATGCTAGTCCTAGGGCTTGAACTCAGGGCCTTGGAACTGGCCCTGAGGTTTTTGCTCAAGGCTTGTGCTCTACCACTTGAGCCAAGCCCCACTTTTGGCTTTTGTTGGTCACTAATTGGAGATAAGGTTCTCATGAACTTTTCTGCCTGGTCTGGCTTCTAATCACAATTCTCAGATCTCAGCCTCCCAATAGATAAGATTATAGGCATGAGCCATTAGTGCCCAGCTATAAATGGGTTTTAATATAGGACTGGATGTGGGATATAGGATTTTTAAATATTTGCAAAAATCAGGGCTGGTAATGTGGCTTAGTGGTAGAGTGCTTGCCTGGTATTTATGAAGCCCTGGGTTTGATTCCTCAGTACCACATAAACAGGAAAAAAAAAAAAAAAGCCAGAAGCAGTACTGTGGCTCAAATGGTAGAGTGCTAGCCTTGAGCAAAAGAAACTCAGAGAGCCAGGCACCAGTGGATCCCAGGATTTCTTAATCAAGGCTCAAAGCTATCTTGGGCTAAGTGCTGGTGGCTCACGCCTGTACTCCTAGCTACTCAGGAGGCTGAGATCTGAGGATCACAGTTCAAAGCCAGCCCTGGCAGGAGAGTCCATGAAACCCTTTTATCCGATAAACCACTAGAAAACCGGAAGTAGTGCTATGGCTTAAGCGGTACAGCACTGGCCTTCAGCTGAAGAGCACAGGGACAGCACCCAAGCCCAGAGTTCAAGCCCCACAACCGACAAAAAAAAAAGAAAAAGAAAAGAAAAGAAACAGTAAATGCTGAAATAGAGTTGTGGCTGAAGTGTTAGAGTGTCACTCCTAAGCAAGAAAGCCAAGCAAACACATGGCTCTCAGTCCAAATCCTCAGTAGGAAAAACAACAACAACAACAACTACAAAAAGGGGTCTAAAAGCAGTAACTCTAGACTAGATGTAATGTTTAACCAATGCGCTAATGCTTCCCAATTACACAAGTATTTTACTAGATGAAAAATGTAAAATTTTCTTTATAGAAACTAATTTCTGGGGTGGGGGGAGGCTGGGAAGGGATGTGAAGGGTAAACAAAGGAGGAGGCTGCAATGCTTGGTAAGAAATGTACGCATTATCCTGCCCACGTAATTGTAACCCCTCTGTACAGTATGTTCACAAAAAAATAAAATAAAATATAAAAAAAATCAAAAAAAAGAAACTAATTTCTATTCAGTTTTAATTTTTTAAGACTTTTTTCTAATTTTACTTTTCTATTGAATTTCTATATTGTTATTTAATTTGTATTTAGCTTAGTTTTGTGTGGGGTAAGAAAGAAGGCTAACTCCAAATTCAGCAGCCTCAAATCCTTTTTGTTATGAGGTAAGATTTTCACAAAGGGCAAGGGGAAAGGGGGGCTAGGAATGTGGCTTAGTGGTAGAGTGCTGCCTAGCATGCATGAGGATGAGGCCCCGGGTTTGATTTTTCTGTACCACGTAAATTTTATTTTTAATTAAAACTTTTTCTTTTTCCTTCCCCTCTGTCTCTGCATGCTTCCAGCTGTTGTGGCCCACAATTTGCTCTCCCCGCAATGAACTTTTTCTTTAAAAAATTAAAAATTAAAAAAAGAAGAGGATATTATTTCATAATAGCCTTAAAAAAACATAGCTGGGTACTGAAAGCTAACTACCTAGAAGGCTAAGATCTGAGGACCATGAGTTGAAGCTAGCCTAGGCAGAAAAGTCCATGAGACTCTTATCTCTGATTAACCACCAAGAAGCTGAAATGGAACTGTGGCTCAAGTGGTAGAGTGCTTGAATGAAAAAAGCTAAGGGACAGCCTGAGTTAGCACAAAAGACCAAGCACAAAATGAAAACAAATAAAATAAAGCATAATCAGCTAGGTGCTGGTGGCTCATGCCTGTAATTCCAACTGCTTAAGAGGCTGAAATCTTGGGATTGCAGTTCCAAGCCTAACTAGGCAGAAAAGTCCATAACACCCTTATCTCCAATTAACTAACAAGACCTGGTAGTGGCTGTGGTTCAAAGTGGTAGAGTTCTAGCCTTGAGAAAAAAAAAAAAAAAAACTCAGAGACAATATCTAGGCCCAGAGTTCAAGTCCTATGACTGACAAAAAATAAACACACACACAAGCATAATCAAAAGCAATATCCTAAATGTCTTTCAACTTCCTGTGGTGCACTGTTAACTATTACAACTAAGACAAAGCGCAGAATCTAGTATAAAACAAATCCCGGGCTGGGAAGTTGGCTCAGTGGTAGTGCGCTTGCCTTGCATGCCTGAGGCCCTGGGTTCGATTCCTCAGCACCACATAAGCCAAAAGAAAAAAGCCGGAAGTGGCGCTGTGGCCCAGAGTTCAGGCCCCACGACCGGACCCAAAAAAAAAAAAAACAAATCCCAAGAAAGCTTCTTTCATATATTTGATACAATACCCTAGAAGAAGAGTTTAGGATATAATCAGAAATGACACATGGAATATGAGCGGCTTGAATACATGTATATATTTAATGAAACAGTTCATTAACAACAACAAAAATCAGAAAATTAATGAGATCTTAGTGCTTAGAAGAAAATGAGTCATCAAGAGAAAATAGCCACTGACAGAGAAGACAACATGAAACAAAGGCAAATTTAACCAAGATAGTGTGAGATGGTGTGAAAGAGGGGATGGAGAAGCAACTAACTGTTTGAGAGCTTGATAGCCACAGTCCTGCGATACACTACACAGGCTGGGGGCAATGATCCCAGACAGGCAGGAGAGAAGAGCAATACAGAACCCAGGGCAGGGAGATGGAAGAGAAGAAGACAGAATTACCAAGAGATGACAATAAGGCCTTTTGTTTCCTCTAAAGTCTAAAATAAATCTTAAGTTTTAAAGTATGTCAGATTCAGTGATCGCATAATGAATGGCACTAGGAACTGTGAGGAATGTTGGGGGGGGTGGTTTGTAAACATAAGGGGATGGCATGAAGCCTGCTCACACAGAGCTTACAACCTATGAGGAGACAGTCTACACAGTAAAATAACTACAAAACCTCCTTATAAAGGAACATACATATAAATAAGTGTACATATGATTAACCAACATAGGAATACTAAGGAGTACTATTCACTAGGTGCTTAGAAGTCCCTAGGTCTTGCAGATTTGTCAGACTTTTAGTATTATGTTAGTGGAGAGTAAAGCATGTGCAAATGTATAGGAGTAGGAATAAATGTCACATTTAGTAAGCAGATTAGCTTGATTAGAGTAGAATGATCCAGTTAAGTATGATGAAGCAGTAAAGGTCAATTTGGTGAAAGAGACTGTGATGTTAGATCAGGTCCCTAAAATAAAATGAACAGGAATGAATGTTTTCATGCTTTCTTTACATGAGGATAAAGTGGCCTTAGGTCCAGGACCACTGCTCTCAAAAGTTCTGTTGTTACTCTAGGAGATATAGCAATTCTATTGCTATATCTCATATCTATTCCTGGTAGAGGGGCACTCAGCTTCCTTGAGCAAGCAGAAGGAATGGCCTTCTCCAAGAATTGATTTACTTCTAAAAGCAAGGAAGTAAAAAACTCAAGGCAATTCCTATGCAGATCTATCATTCAAAAGTCCTGTAGATCTTGGTAATATCAACTGTTCAATAAGCATGTCCTTGACCCTTACTACTAATTTTTGGTAAGGAGTAGACTGTTTATGACTATGTAATTTTTGGTGAGGAATAGATTGTATATGATTAATTTTTTTATTTTTAAACTACTGTGACAATCAGCTTTGATCCTATCAATGTAGAAATTTAAAAGGAGGATGAGAAGAGCCCACATCTGTACGGAATGCTCACGTCCCTAAAGAAGGACAGGTCAGTAAGGGCTCAAATTCTCCCCTGGACTTTTAAGTGGAAAGGCAAAACATCACACCTTGGAAAGAGGCTGTTCTCAGCGAAAGTAAGTGAGACCCTTTCTTTACGCCTACTGGTCTGAAGCTGTTCCAGGAAGAAAAAAGGGTTCAGGGCAGATGTTCAGCAGCAGCCAGAGTCGGAGCCTACTTCACCAGAGTTCCGTGGAGAAATGCTGGGTCCCACTGATGTTGCAATAGACTGCTGAGGTCCAATCTTGATGCCATTTGCCTGCAGAGGGAAAATAATTTCTACCTCAGTGCTAAAGTGAATGGGAGAAAGGAGAAGGGGAAAGGATAAATCATTAATTATCCATAAAAACAGATGTGACCTTGTCAGATAACTATGTGACATAGCAAACTGTGTGCAACAACAATATAGGACAGGTAAGGATAAGACAAGTAACTGTTTAAGAAACACAGTGAGCCAGTAACTAGGTGGCTCATGCCACCTAGCTGAGATCTGAGGATCACGGTTCAAAGTCAGCCCAGGCAGGAAAGTCTGTGAAATTCTTTTTTTTGTTTTGTTTTGTTTTTGGGCCCGGTCGTGGGGCCTGAACTCTGGGCCTGGGCACTGTCCCTCAGCTCTTCAGCTCAAGGCTAGCCCTCTACCACTTGAGCCACAGCACCACTTCTGGCTTTTTTCTTTTTGCTTATGTGGTACTGAGGAATCGAACCCAGGGCCTCAGGCACGCAAGGCAAACGCTCTACCACTGAGCCAACTTCCCAGCCCCTTAGCACTATTTTTTTTTTTTGTCGGTCGTGGGGCTTGAACTCTGGGCCTGGAGTCTGTGAAATTCTTATCTCCAATAAACCACCAGAAAAGCAGAAGTGGCACTGTAGCTCAAGTGGTAGAGCGCTAGCCTTGAGCTGTAGAGCTGAGGGACAGTGCTCAGGCCCAGAGTTCAAGCCCCCCCCCCCCTCCACAAAAAACAGAAAGAAACACAGTGAGCCGGGCGACAGTGGCTCATGCCTATAATCCTAGCTACTCAGGAGGCTGAGATATGAGGATTGCAGTTCAAAGCCAGCCCGGGCAGGAAAGTCTGTGAGACTCTTATCTCCAATAAACCACTAGAAAACCAGAAGTGGCTCTGTGGCTCAAGTGGTAGAGTGCTTGCCTTGAGCTGAAGAGCGCAGGGACAGGCGCAGGGACAGAGTTCAAGCCTCATCACTGACCAAAAAAAAAAAAAGAAAGAAACACAGTGGACTAGAAGTTCTTGTATCCATTTTTAGTATATTGTTATATTTGTTTCATAGGTATGTACAGAAATAAGATGTGATTAGGCAAGAATAGTAGGAGCCAAAAGAGTAGAAGCAGCATATTAGCATATGATTTTTGTTTTGTCCTCATATATGCTTTATAGAAATTGCCCTCTTGGGCATTAAGAATTACATCTCTGTAATTCTTACAATTACTCTGGATTTGTAAGAAACTGAGGCTGAGAAGAAAAACTCCCAAACTGTCTAAGTCTTTTAGGTAACCAGCTAATAATCTCTTTAAGAGAGAGAAAATGATGACATACTTCTATGTGAGTATATTAGAAGCAAACAACAAACACCTATACGCTTAAACTGGCAAAGCTACAATTGGTGTGATATTAGATGGGAAATACTTTACATGCTAGGAATGTTCCGATCCTGTTCAGAAAAAACACAGTTAACTGCCAGTACTCCACTTCCAATTTCCTCACCTCATTGTGGACATCAAACAAACCCTGCTGGATCTTCCTATATATTTCTTTGGCTGTATTAATGAAGGCCTAAAAAAGACAAAATTATTTATCACTCTTAAGCTTAGACAGAGAAATGAGGGAAAGAAAATACAAATATGATTGAGATTTCTAAGGTGAACTAGCAGAAGGGAGTTAAAATGTAGATAGTTCCTTAGATGTCTCTGTAAAAGCCACTGAACAGAAGCAGGCATGGTACATGCCTATTATCCTAGGACTTCAGAGGCTAAGACAAAATGAAGAGTTCAAAGGGAGCCTGGGCTCCAAAGCAAGATCCTTCTCAAAGCAAAAACAAGATTCAAAACAAACAAAAAAAGGACCTGGCACCAGTGGCTCAATATCTGTAATCCTAACTACTCAGGAGGCTGAGATCTGAGGATTGCAGTTGAAAGCCAGCCAGACAGGAAAGTCCATAAGATTCAATAAGCCATCAAAAAGCCAAAAGTGAGCTGTGGTTCAAGTGGTAGAGCAATAGCCTTGATCAAAAAAGGTCAAAGACAAGGCCAGTTGCTGGTGGCTCACACCTATAATCCTAGCTACTCAGGAGGCTGAGATCTAAGGATCACGGTTCAAAGCCAGCCCAGGGAAGGAAAGTCAGTGAAACTCTTATCTCCAATAAACCACCAGAAAACCAGAAGTGGCGCTGTAGCTCAAGTGGTAGAACCCTAGCCTTGAGCTGAAGGACAGCGCCCAGGCCCAAAGTTCAAGCCCTATGACCAACACTCCCTCTCTCTCCCCCCCCAAAAAAGGGTCCAAGACAAAAAGAAAAAAAAAACGTGAATAAACTTATAAACACTTGTATCCTAACACTACCAGCACTTAGATAAGGTAGGATGATATCACCCATCCAAGGCCGGCCTATGTTACACAATTGAGACCTACATCAATTTAAAAAAAAAGGGGGGGGGAGAAATGGAAGACCCAAGTTCTCCTAGGATTTCTAGGTTGGCACCATCTGCAAATAGAACAAATATATACTCTTTTCCATTAGATAGTGAAGACAGATAAAGCCAACACAGGCCTAGGAACTTATAGTAGCTAACTAAAGTAACATGTAAGTAATAGTGGTATCTAATCCACACTTACCAATTAAAGTTACTCAAAGCAAAAGTAAAATATCAGAGGTTGGAGGTGTAGCACAAGGCCTCAAGGCCTGAGTTCATATTCCACAATGGCAAAAAAAAAAAAAAAGTAAAACCTCAAGATTCAGTATTCAAAGAAAATGGAAAATGAAACAATTCCTTTCTTTACTCATTCTGAATAAAAGGACGAAGATAATGAATGATGTGATCTGTGTGAAACTTCCCCCATTCTTTTTCAAGTAGTACCTCTTCAACATTGCAGGCCGTTTTAGCAGAAGTTTCCATGAATATAAGTCCATGCTCCCGAGCAAAGGCCTCTCCTTCCTCTCGCTTCACATCCCTGCGAGATTCTAGGTCGCTGCAAGAGATTAAGAAGAAAACTAAAATAAGATAAAAGTGAAAGAAGGACTCTAGTTCTAAAAATATCTCATGATAGTTTCAACCATGAGTTAATTCATAAAGAAGATACTAAATCCTATTCTCCTGTATAGACTATTTTCCTTCCTTCCTTCCTTCCTTCCTTCCTTCCTTCCTTCCATCCTTCCTTCCTTCCTTCCTTCCTTCCTTCTTTCCTTCCTTCCTTCCTTCCTTCCTTCCTTCCTTCCTTCCTTCCTTCCTTCCTCCCTCTCTCTCTCTCTCTCTCTCTTTCTCTCGTTTTCTCTCTCTCTCTCTCTCTCTCTCTCGGTCTCTGTCTCTTTCTCTTTCTCTTTTGGTGCTGATACTGGCCTTGAACTTGGACCAAGGACAATGTGTCTGAGCATTTTTGCACTACTCCTTGAAGTGCAGCTCTACTTTCACCTTTTTTGGTGATTAATTAGAAATAAGAGTTCACAGAAGCCAGATGCTGGTGGCTCACACCTGTAATCCTACGTACTCAGGTGGCTGAGATCTGAGGATTGTAGTTCAAAGCCAGCCTAGGCTAGAAAGTCTGTGAGACCCTTACCTCCACTAAAACTATCAAAAGCCAAGCACTGGTAGCTCACACCTGTAATCCTAGCTACTCAGGAGGCTGAGATCTGAGGATTGTGGTTCAAAGCCAGCCCGGGCAGGAAAGTCCATAAGACTCTTAACTATAATTAACTACTCATGCAGAAAACCGGAAAGTGGTACTGTGGCTCAAGTGGTAGAGTACTAGCCTTGAGCTGAAGAGCTGAGGGACAGTGCCCAGGCCCAGAATTCAAGCTCCATGACTGACAAAAAAAGAAAAGAAGAAAAGAAAAAAAAGAAAAACTACCAAAAAAGCTGGAACTAGAGCTGTGGCTTAAGTTGTAGAGCCCTAGCCTTGAGCAAAAAAGAAGCTCAGGGACAGGGCACAGGCCCTGAGCTCAAGCCCACAGATTTTCCTGCCCAGGCTAGCTTCAAATCTGATCAAGTCACTTGTTCACTTAAATGAAGGACTGGATATAGCTGAGTTGTAGAATCCTTGCCTAGCACACAAGAGATCTGGTATTCAGTTCTTAGCACAGCAAAACAAAAATAAATAAAACAGTGTTAAAACCACTGCCACTAGGTTCCGGTGGCTCCTAGCTACTCAGGAAGCTGGGATCTGAGACTCGTGGTTCGAAGCCCATCTGGGCAGAAAGGTACTCATAAGACTCTTATCTATAGTTAACCACTCAAAAACCAGAAGTGGTGCTGTGGCTCAAGTGCTAGAGCTCTAAGAGGCTCAGGGACAGGGCCCAGGTCCTGAGTTCAAGTCCCACAAGTGACCAAAACAAAACAAAATAACAAAAAAAACCCCACAACACTGCCACTACCATAACAAAAGAAAAACTTTATAAATGCTTCCACTATGTATGTTAGCATTATGGCCACCTTTGGTCTTCAGCTGCACCCAGATCTGAGCTCCTCCCTGCCCTGGGGTTCCCACCAAACAGCTGGCCCCTCCCTCTCTCCACCCAGATCCACCTGAGCTCCCATCTAACTCACTTCCTACCCCCAGACCCTGCTGCTACCTAGATAGTGGAGGCCACCATGTATTCTCTCTCTCTGGGGGAAATATGGCTTTCTCCTGTGCCTGCCTGCCTCTGCATGGTCCCCTGGGATGGCTGTGATGGATTCTTTCAATGTATAGAAAAAACTGGAAGTCCTTACTTAGGCCTGTGAAATGATATGAGATATAGCGGACCACCAAATTCATCTTATATCATTCCCTTTTCAGTTCATACCAGGTTTCCTTCAAGACAAAAACTTACCAAACAAATAATAACCAAACAAAAAATCCCCACAAGGTCATGAAAGTAAAAGAGGACTAATAGAGTGGAAAAAGGATAGCAAAGGGGGGCAGGGGGAGATCAGAAAGAATAACAGATCAACAGATCAAGGAACCAGTGGCTTACAAGTAGCTATCCAGGAGGCTAAGATTATAATTCAAAGCCAGTCCAGGGAGTCAAATTCAAGAGATTTTTATCTCCATCTAGCAGAAAGCTAGAATTGGAGATGTGGTACACTGCCAGCTGTGAGAAGGAAAAAAGCAATGTGAGAGGCTCTAAGTGCAAGTTTCAGGCAGGCATGTAAGCGTGCATGTGTGCGCACACATGTACACACACATGCATACACACACAACACACACTAAAAAGAGTAATAGAGTGAGGCATTGATGGCTCATGCCTGTAATCTTTACTACTGAAGAGGCTGAGATCTGAGGATCATGGTTTAAAGCTAGCCTGAGCAAAAAAGTCACTGAGACTCTTATCTCCAATTAATCACCAAAAAGTTAGAGTAGAGCTATGACTCAAGTGGTAGAGTGCTGTCCTTTAGCAATAGAGCTCAGGGACAGCAATCAGGCCCTAAGTTCAAGCCCCAGTACCAGCAAAAAGTAATAAGAATAAAAATATGAAAATACATTATATGCATAATATATCCACATCTCATATCATTTCCCTCATATGTACACTTACATTAAATATATCCACATCTCATATCATTTCCCTCATATGTACACTTACATTAAAAAAAAAACAGTTGCTAAGGTTTATTCCAGCTCAAGTCTTTTTTTTTTTTTTTTTTTTTTGGGGGTCCGGTCATGGGGCCTGAACTCTGGGCTTGGGCACTGTCCCTCAGCTCTTCAGCTCAAGACTAGTGCTCTACCACTTGAGCCACAGCGCCACTTCCGGCTTTTTTCTTTTTGCTTACGTGGTGCTGAGGATTCGAACCCAGGGCCTCAAGCATGCAAGGCAAGCGCTCTACCACTGAGCCACCTTCCCAGCCCTCCAGCTCAAGTCTTTGATACAGTTTGTTACCCCTATATGATGCTATTTTAAAAGCCAAACTTTTTCTTGTTATTTTGATGGTTCTAGGGCTTGAACTCTGGGCCTGGGCACTGTCCCTCAGCTCTTCAACTCAAGGCTGGAGCCCTACCACTTGAGCCACACCACCACTTCTGGTTTTCTGGTGGTTAATTGGAAATAAGAGTATCATAGACTTTCCTGCCCTGGCTGGCTTTGAACCATGATCCTCAGATCTCAGCCTCCTGAGTAGCTAGGATTACAGGCGTGAGCCACCAGGGCCCAGCTAAAAGCCTTTTTTATTGCTCAGCAAGTTCTTGCCCATCCTTTAGCTTCACATCACTCTTAATCAAAAGAAAGTACCCTGGTTACTTTGCTTTTCCTTCACAATTTCTAATTCGTATAAATCACTTTATATTTAAATGACACAAATAATTTTATATATTGCTATAATTTTATATATTTTATATATTACTCCCATACAACAAGATCATAACTTGTTTTCATTTTGCAAACTGAGAGTTTGGCCAAGTATCTAACATAGAAGCTTTCAAAAATCAATAGAATCAACCAATAAATAAATAATCAATAAATAAACACAAATGGGATGCCAGTAGCTTACGCCTATATCCTAGCTACTCAAGAGGCTGAGATCTGAGAATCCTGATTCAAAGCCAGCATGGAGAGGAAACTTAATTGTAGATACTTATCTCCAGTTAACCAGCCAAAAGCTGGGAGTAGAGGTATGGCTTAAGTGGTACAACACCAACTTTCAGAGAAAAGAAAGAAAGAGAGAGAGAAAGAAAGAATGAAAGAAAGAAAGAAAGAAGGGAGGGAGGAAGGGAAGGAAAGAAGGAAGGAGAGGGAGGAAGGGAGGGAAGGGAAGGGAAAGGAAAGGAAAGGAAGGGAGGGAAGGAAGGAAGGAAGGAGAGAGACAGAGGAGAGAAAGAGAAGGAAAGGAAGAAAGGAAGGAAGGGAGGAAGGGAGGGAGGGAGGAAGAATGAATCCCAATGTCCACAGAGTATCTAGATGACTCCTGGTAAGTAATCTTTATAAAGATCAAGGCATCAATGGCCACACCTGTAATCCTAGCTTCAGGAGGCTGAGATCTGAGGATTGAGGTTCAGGGCTAGCTGGAGCAAGAAAGACCATGAAACTTTTATCTCTAATTTACAATCAAGAAACAAGAAACAGAGCTGTGGTTCAAATGGTAGATCACTATCCTTAAGCAAAAAAGCTCAGGCACAACTCTCAGGCCTTGAGATCAAGCCCCAGAACCAGTAGGGGGAAAAAAAAGATCAACTATTACCTCTTATTTCCAATAAGCATGATAACCATATTAGAGCTGGAGTGCTGGCGGGCATCCTCTAACCATGAGGTCAGGTGGTTAAAGGTTTCACGTCTGCAATAGAAAAGTTTAGAAGGTGAGTCAGAAGTCTATCTCCAAAGTCCACAGCAATTCCAAATGTATGGAGAAATGGAGGAAGTTTCATGCAAACAAAAAAGTATAACAGAGGCCACCCTTAGTTAGCAGTGTTATTGAAACCAGTTGACAGAGAGAATAGGGAGAAGAGTTTCCACAGAAACCAGCTCACCTGGTAATGTCGTACACTAGCAGTGCTCCAGCTGCTCCCCGATAGTAGGAACGAGTGATAGAACGGAAGGATTCTTGCCCAGCCTTTTGTATCATTATGACAACAAAATACCAATAAAACTAGGTTATTTCAGACAAGTGACCTAATGACATACCACCCATAGAAAAGGACTTAACTATAGGAAGAAAGTCAATCAGGTAAGAATGTTATGGAAAGGAACTCTGCCTGCCAGGGAGAAGCTCAAGTAGAAAGTAGATATTTTTGGGGGAGGGGAAGGGGGTCCGGTCGTGGGGCCTGATCTCTGGGCCTGGGCACTGTCCCTCAGCTCTTCAGCTCAAGGCTAGCGCTCTACCACTTGAGTCACAGCGCCACTTCCGGCTTTTTTCTTTTCGCTTATGTGGTGCTGGGGAATCGAACCCAGGGTCTCGAGCATGCAAGGCAAGCGCTCTACCACTCAGCCACCTTCCCAGCCCAGAAAGTAGATATTTTTTAATGAGAGAGTAATTGATATTTCAGTTGAGTAACTATTTCCCTTATGAGATTATCCATGAAATTGCTGCATGTTTAATTTCACTAGATATTAAACCAGCACTAAATGCCAGTAGCATCTTACAGATAGCAAGAACATCAAAGACCTTGGCATAGATTTCCCAACCTATGTGAGAACTAGAAACGTGTGTTCAATTACAAATATTGAATACATCACATCACTCTTCCTGTTCTTGTTCCTGTATATGTAAAAATGAAAATTATCTTAGAATGCCACAGTACTCTGACAAATAGAAGATTCATTCTAATAGATCAACTTAGAATACCAAATACAAGGGCTGGGAAGGTGGCTCAGTGGTAGAGCGCTTGCCTTGCAATGCATGAGGCCCTGGGTTCGATTCCTCAGCACCACATAAGCAAAAAGAATACCAAATACAAAACATTAAATTGAGCATAAGCTAATTGGCCTTTAGAATCTGATTAAAAAAAAAAAAGAAGAAGAAGAAGAATTCTGATAATAGCAGAACTACCTGAATGTCTCCTGCTGACATCCTGCCAGGAAAACAGGAATAAGGAACAAGGACCATTACAGAAAAAAAGAAGGAAAGGAAAAGAAAAGATGCTGGCACTGGTGGCTTATACCAATAATCCTAGCTACTGAGGAAGCTGAGATCTGAGGATAATTCAAAGCCATCCTGGGCCACGAAAAAAACTGAAAGTAGAGGTGTGTTTCAGGTGGTAAAGAGCTAGCCCTTGAATAAAAAAATCTCAAGCCCGGGCGCTTGTGGCTCACACCTGTAATCCTAGCTACGCAGGAGGCTGAGATCTGAGGATCTTGGTTCAAAGCCAGCCCAGGCAGGAAAGACTGTGAGAGTCCTATCTCCAATAAACCACCAGAAAACTGGAAGTGGCGCTGTAGCTCAAGTAGTAGAGCACTCACTCTCCTTGAGCTGAAGAGCTGAGGGACAGCGCCCAAGCCCAGAGTTCGAGCCCCATGACCAACAACAACAACAACAAAAAGCCTTGAGTATACAAGCTCCAGGACCAGCATGTACACAAAAAAGAAAGAAAGGAAAGAAAAATAAAGAAGGAAGGAAGGAAGGAAGGAGAGAAAAGACTTTTCACACAATAATCTCATTTGGAAGTACAAGTTGTCATGTCGCAAATGAACTTTACAACTTTGGTGTGTGGGGGGGGGAGGATTGGGTGGGGGGGCGGGGGGAGGCTGGGAAGGGATGGGAAGGGTAAACAAAGGAGGAGGCTACAATGCTTGATAAGAAATGTACTCACTATCTTGCCCATGTAATTGTAACCCCTCTGTACAGTATTTTCACAATAAAAAATAATAAAAAAATCTCATTTGTAGTTGAGCAAAATATTGCTTTATTTATAACTGAGCAATTAATAAACTCCCCTAAATACGTGCTTCTTATGCTTTCCTTTTCTTTCTTTTCTTTTTTTCCCCATTCCTAGGGCTTGAACTCTGGGTTGGGGTGCTATCACTGAGCTCCTTTTGCTCAAGGCTAGTACTCTACCACTTGAGCCACAGCTCCACGTGATTAATTGGACATAAGAGTCTCGTGAACTTTCTCCTGCCCTGGCTACCTTCAAACTGTGATCCTCAGATCTGAAACTCAAGTAGCTAAGATTACAGGTGTAAGCCACTGGTACCTGGGTATCGTGCTTTCTTGATAAAATGTTTTTTATTCATTTAGGGAAGGAAATGTATCTTTTAAATAACATGAATAATCCTAGCCACTCAGGAGGCTGAGATCTGAGGATCGTGGTTCAAAGCCAGCCCAGGCAGGAAAGTCCATGAGACTATTATCTCCAATTAACCACCAGAAAACCAGAAGTGGCGCTGTGGTTCAAATGTTAGAGTGCTAGCCTTGAGCTGAAGAGCTGAGAGACAGTCCCCAGGCCCAGAGTTCAAGCCCTAGATCCATCAAAACAACAACAAAAAGCTTGGAAGATTACTATTCTTTTTTTTTTCTTACTGCCAGTATTCAGGCTTAAACTCAGGCTTAATGCTCACTCAGCTTGCTTGCTCACAGCTCGTGTTCTACCACTTGCATCATGGATACATCTAGCCAGACACTTTGCTGGGTTTTTTTTTTTTTTTAATTTTTTTTTTTTGGTCCGGTCGTGGGGCCTGAACTCTGGGCCTGGGCACTGTCCCTTAGCTCTTCAATTCAAGGCTAGCGCTCTACCACTTGAGTCACAGCACCACTTCTGGCTTTTTTCTTTTTGCTTATGCGGTGCTGAGGAATTGAACCCAGGGCCTCATGCATGCAAGGCAAGCGCTCTACCACTGAGCCACCTTCCCAGTCCCGTTGCTGGTTATTGTAGAGATGGAGTCTAGCAGACCTTTCTGCTCAAGCTTGCTTTCTTTACAGTCTTCTAATCTCAGCTAGGATTACAAGGGTGAGACACCAGTACCTAACTTACCATTCATGTTTTACACACAGGAAAACTAAATTGAGGATAAAGGACGATAAAAGACTCTTTCACAAAAGAATAGCAATAATGGTGAAGATACTAACAGTAACACTACAATAGTCTTACTATTTTTTGTACAGTTTGTTAAGTGTCAGAAAAGACAATAAAGTTTCTCACTTAGTTCTTTCAGCAGCCCTGGGACAGATAGTTATTTCTCTTTGAAAATGGAAAAATAAGGTTCAAAGGGGCAAGTTCAGTAACCTGCCAAAAATTATTCAGCAGTACTATAATTTAAACTTAGCATCTTAGTATTTACTAAAAAAATTAAGTTTTTTTCTCTTACCTATTATACTATATAATCTAAATCAGGTTTGATTGATAAAAGAGAGATCCAGTCCACTAACTCTAAGGTTATTTTTCCAACAATACCATACTGATACTTTATAAGAATCAACAGGCTTGACACCAATGCCTGTAATCCTAGCTACTCAGGTGGCTGAGATCTGAGAGTCCTGGTCTGCCAGCCCAGGCATATAAATCCAAGAAACTTTTCCAGTTAACCAGCAAAAAACTGGTACAGGAATGGCTCAAATGATAGAGCACTAGTCTTGAGTAAAAAAGCTAAAGGACAGTGCCCTAGACCCAAGTGTAAGCCCTAGCATCAACACTCACAAAAAAACAAAAGAGGGCTGGGAAGGTGGTTCAGTGGTAGAGCACTTGCCTTGCATGCATGAGGCCCTGGGTTCAATTCCTCAGCACCACATAAGCAAAAAGAAAAAAGCTGGACGTGGCGCTGTGGCTCAAGTGGTAGAGCACTAGCTTTGAGTTGAAGAGCTGAGGGATAGCGCCCAGAGTTCAGGCCCCATGACCGGACTCCCAAAAAAACAAAAAACAAAAAAATCAAAAAGTCATGAAGCAGGGCTGGAGGCATGGCTCAAGTGGTAGAGTGCAAGCTGAGCAAATATAAGGACCTGAGTTCAAATCCCAATACTTGGAAAGAATAAAAAATTAAAATCATAGGATAATAAGAGGTAGGTTAAAATACTTAATTGAGAATCACAGTAAAAAATGCCTCAACAAAAAAGAAGGGAATATGAAGCAGCTCTTTAAAAACAAAAATAATATGCAGGAGCTGGGAATGTGGCTTAGTGGTGGCAGAGTGCTTGCCTAGCATGCATGAAGCCCTGGGTTTGTTTCCTCAGTACCACATAATCAGAAAAGGACAGAAGTAGTACTGTGGCTCAAGTGGTAAAGTGCTAGCCTTGAACAAAAGAAGCTCAGGGACACTACCAAGGATCTGAGTTCAAGCCCCAGTACTGGCTTGAATAAATAGCCATAGAACAACAAGAAATTACATTTAGGAAGTGGCGCTGTAGCTCAAGTGGTAGAGCGCTCGCCTTGAGCTGAAAAGCTGAGGGACAATGCCCAGGCCCAGAGTTCAAGCCCCACAACCGACAAAAAAAAAAAAAAAAGAAATTACATTTAATATGTATATATCTATATGTGTGTGTGTGTGGGCGGGGGGGACAGCGGAATAAGGAGAAAAAAAGGAAGAAAATGAACATAGAGGGCTGGGAAAGTGGCTCAGCGGTAGAGTGCTTGCCTGCATACATAAGGCCCTGGGTTCGATTTCAGCACCACATAAGCAGAAAAAGCTGGAAGTGGTGCTATGGCTCAAGTGGTAGAGCGCTTGCCTTGAGCTAAAGAGCTGAGGGACAGCTCCCAGGCCCAGAGTTCAAGTCCCATGACCAACAAAACAAAACAAAACAGAGAATGAACACAGAAAAAATAACTTGGATGCTCCTTGAAAATATAATGATTTTTTTGTTGTTTTTTTTTGGGTCCAATCATGGGGCCTGAACTCTGGGCCTGGGCGCTGTCCCTCAGCTCTTCAGCTCAAGGCTAGCGCTCTACCACTTGAGCCATAGCGCCACTTCCAGCTTTTTTCTTTTTGCTTATGTGGTGCTGGGGAATCGAACCCAGGGCCTCAGGCATGCAAGGCAAGCGCTCTACCACTGAGCCACCTTCCCAGCCCCGAAAATATAATGGTTTTAACTCACAGTTCTGAGTAGAAAAGGTCAAATAATAAGTACAAAACAAGAAGAGTATATAAGAAAAGAACTAAACAGAAACAGGAAGAGATATTTTAGTTAAATATTAGAAACTATTTTCTAGCTACCTTTAACTATAATAGAGACTAAGATATTTTCCTCAGGGGAAAGAAAAGTATAAAGCAAACGAGATAATACACATAAAAACAATTTATCTAGAAGCAAAATTACACTAAACCAAGATAAACTTTGGCAGTACTACATTTATCAAATTTTAAAATATACACACTTTTGAGATAGAATTCCCATTTCTGGGCTGGTATTCTACAGAAATTTTCATATATTTGCATAAATATATTTGAGCTGAAGAGTGCAGGGACAACGCCCAGGCCGAAAGTTCAAGCCCCACGACCGACAAAAAAAAAATGAGAACCTAATTTTCCATCAGTGAGAGGATGGCTAAATAAATATATTTAATATATTCTATGACTAGTCACTAGTTAAAAGATATTAAGAATGTCTGTATGTATTGATATTGAGAAATCACCAAAATATGGAGATTGTCACGTTAAAAAAAATTCCCATTTATAGATCCTTAAGGCATATACACTCATCAATAATGATTCTTCTGGCACAAAGGCAATTAAACTGAGAGGAAGAGTTTATGGGTATAAAGTGGACATTCACAATAAACTTAAATTGTTTGATTCTTTCTCTCTCTCATTTATTTTTTGTTGGTTGTGTGGCTTGAACTCAGGATCTTTGGGTGCTATACCTGAGCTCTTTTGCTTAAGGCTAGAACTCTACCACTTTGAACCACAGTCCATATCTGGTTTTCTGGTGGTTAATTTGTTTTGTTTTGTTTTGGTCGGTCATGGGGCTTGAACTCTGGGCCTGGGCGCTGTCCCTCAGCTCTTCAGCTCAAGGCAAGTGCTCTACCACTTGAGCCACAGTGCCACTTCTGGTTTTCCAGTGGTTTATTGGGGATAAGAGTGTTACGGACTTTCCTGCCTAGGCTGGCTTTGAACTGCGATCCTCAGATCTCAGCCTCCTGAGTAGCTAGGATTATAGGTGTGAGCTACCAGCGCCCAGCTTCTGGTGGTTAATTGGAGATAAGAGTCTCGCAGCCTTTCCTGCCCAGGCTGGCTTTGAACTAGGATCCTCAGGTCTCAGCCTTCTGAGTAGCTAGGTTTACAGGCATGAGTCACCAGTGCCTGGCCTTAATTTTATTTTAGTTTTTTAAACCAAACAATTTAAGTTTTGGGCTATTTAAAATAAAGAAGACATGGCCTTTTTTTATTGTTATTATTAAGATAGGGTCTCATTATGTAATGTAGGCTGGCTTTAAACTCAAGATCCTCTCGCCTCCCTCTTGCTTCTGTCAACTGAGTGTTGGGATTGTAGGTATGTATCACCATGCTTCGTAGCATAAAATTATACTGTGATATTTGGATCTTGATCATTGATTAAATTATTTTGTCCTCTCTTACCGTATCCCAGATTTGTAGTTTGATTTGTTTTCCATCAATGTTGACCATTCGCGCTCCAAACTCCACTCCTGCCAGTAAAGACCAAGAGAATATGAGCTTCATGAACTACCTACCTGTTGAATGAGAGGTTTATGCTTTTGCTCAGGTGCTTTAATTTATTCCTTGTTTGTTCTTTTTTTTTTTTGTCGGTTGTGGGGCTTGAACTCTGGGCCTGGGCACTGTCCCTCAGCTCTTCAGCTCAAGGCAAGCGCTCTACCACTTGAGCTACAGCGCCACTTCTGGTTTTCTGGTGGTTTATTGGAGATAGGAGTCTCACAGTCTCTTCTGCCTGGGTTGGCTTTGAACCACGATCCTCAGATCTCAGCCTCCTGAGTAGCTAGGATTACAGGCGTGAGCCACCAGCGCCCGGCTCCTTGTTTGTTCTTAATGCCAGTAAGCCCATACTGCTACCTATTTGCTCCTGTTATTTTTGTGTTCCTTTCATTTATTCATTTCTCTCCTAGAGTTAAAAAGTTGTGTTCTACCAATATACAAGGACACGTGCACCTCCATGTTTATTGCAGCACTGTTCACAATAGCTAGGATATGGAAACAACCTAGGTGCCCCACCACAGATGAATGGATCCAAAAATTGTGGTATCTATACACAATGGAATATTATGCAGCCATTAGAAATGACAAAATAATGGTATTTGCAGGGAAATGGATGGAGCTAGAAGGAACCATGTTGAGCGAGGTAAGCCAAGAACGAAGAGACAAATGGTACATGGTCTCCCTGATAAGTGGATGCTAAATCCAAAAGGTTAGGTGAAACGACAAAACTAACAGGACTTAAGAAACAAAGAACTCCCGCTCATCTGGTTGAACCACTACTAAATATCCCCATGCTGCTGATCACAAATATGGTATATAACATGTGAACACTGTTATATATTACAGACTGTGGTAGACAATTTGCTCCAGGGAAGTTAGAATGAACTTGTGACTTTGAAATTATATAATCATTTAATCACAATCAAAAAAAAAAAAAAGAACCTCGGGGAAGGGAGGGAGGGAGGGGATGGTAGGGGGAAAACAATGGAGGGGGTAACAATGTTCAAGAGGAAGTGTACTCATAACCTCACTCATGTAACTGTAACCCTCTGTATAGTAGCTTTACAATAAAAAAAAAAAAAAAAGAACCTCGGGGAAGGGAGGGAGGGAGGGGATGGTATGGGGAAAACAATGGAGGGGGTAACAATGTTCAAGAGGAAGTGTACTCATTACCTCACTCATGTAACTGTAACCCTCTGTATAGTAGCTTTACAATTAAAAAAAAAAAAAGTTGTGTTCTAGGGGCTGGGAAGATGGCTCAGTGGTAGAGCACTTGCCTTGCATACCTCTGAGGCCCTGGTTCGATTCCTCAGCACCACGTAAGCAAAAGGAAAAAAGCCGGAAGTGGCGCTGTGGCTCAAGTGGTAGAGCGCTAGCCTTGAGCTGAAGAGCTGAGAGAGCTGAGAGACAGCGCCCAGGCCCAGAGTTCAGGCCCCATGACCGGACCCCAAAAAAAAAGTTGTGTTCTAGGGCAGGGATGAAACTCAGTGATAGAGCACTTGCCTTGTAAAAATGTCAGGCCCTTCGTTTGATGCCTAGCCTCCCCACTTTCTCTTCCCCCTTATCAAAAATAACTGTTTGATAATAATGCTCTAAGAAATGTAACCTCGCAATGTTAACCCTTAAATTTAACTAATGTTTAATTTTATAATTTAAAAACTTTTATTTATTTTTATTGCCAGTCATAGGGCTTGAACTCTGGGCCTGGGAGCTGTCCCTGAGCTTTTGAACTCAAGGGTAGTGGTCTACCACTTGAGCTCCCCTTCAAGCTTCTTCTTTTTTTTTTCTTTTTTTCTTTTTTTTGGGGGGTCTGGTTGTGGGGCCTGAACTCTGGGCCTAGGCACTGTCCCTCAGCTCTTCAGCTCAAGGCTAGCGCTCTACCACTGGAGCCACAGCTCCACTTCCAGCTTTTTTCTTTTTTTTTTTTGCTTACGTGGTGCTGAGGAATCGAACCCAGGTCCTCATGCATGCAAGGCAAGCGCTCTACCACTGAGCCACCTTCCCAGCCCTCTTTTTTTCTTTTTTTTTGTAGTTTAGTGGAGATAAGAGTCTCATGGACTTTCCTGACTGGGCTAGTTTTGAACCATGATCCTCAGATCTCATTACAGTCGTGAGCTAGGGTACCAGCTAAAAAACTTCTAAATGTTTTCTGCCATTGTCTCAGGGTACCCTTGGTTATCTGTATTGTATGAAACAGCATTTTTTTTTTTTGTAATTCTAGAAATCTTCATTTAGGAAAAGTGCCGAGCCAAGAGATAAGTCCTCTACACCAATGATTCATTATCAATCACCAATTATCAAATCTCCTAGTAAAATAGCCTCTCTTGTAGAAATTTGGAAACCAACCATCTGAATTAGGCATTAGGTTTACCAAGAATTCTTTTATTTTTATTGTTTATTTTTTGGGGGAATACGGTCGTGGGGCCTGAATTCTGGGCCTGGGTGCTGTCCCTCAGCTCTTCAGCTCAAGCCTAGCACTCTACCAATTGAGCCACAGCGCCACTTCCGGCTTTTTTCTTTTTGCTTACATGGTGCTGAGGAATTGAACCCAGGGCCTCAGGCATGCAAGGCAAGCGCTCTACCACTAAGCCACCTTCCCAGCCCCCCAAGAATTTTTTATTATTCTCAAGATACCAGACCAAGCCAGGCACTGGTGGCTTACACCTGTAATCCTAGCTACTCAGGAGACTGAGATCTGCCAGTCCTGGCAGGAAAGTCCATGAGACTCTTATCTCCAATAAACCACCAGAAAACCGGCCCAGAGTTCAAGCCCCATGACCACCAAAGAAAAAAACAAAAGATGCCAGACTAAAATCCTTAATAAAGCCACCATATTAAAAATACTGAGCTGTCCGTTAATGATAATTTCTATTTCACTTTGCAAATAGCATGAGGATCTGATTTTGAAGAAAGATCATTAATCTATCTTGCCCTAAGGATTGATATTGTACCTATTTTTGGCTCTATATGGATATGCCCAGTAGATGTTTATGGAATGACACAACAAAGCTTTCATTATTTCATCTGCTTCATCAAGAATCAAAATGCAACTAGCTACTGAAAAAATCACCAAGTCTTTTATGTTTCTTTCTGAACAATAGCAATAGAATTTCAATAGACAAGAAACTAAAAAAATAACTTTTTTCTCCTTTTACAAAATTTTCCTTAGCTGAGATTCTTACACTTTGCACATAATTTCTATCAATCTGACTGCCACGGTCCATAGAAGTGAACTCAGAAAGAAACACAGGCTCTATTGGATGGTGGGGAAAATGTGATCATCCTACTCCTCTGCAAAGCTTGCCATTGGCTACCCATAACCACTGAGAATTTCAAAATCTGATACCTATTTTTTTCTCTAGTTTTATATCTTGCTGTTTTCCACTTCAAAGTCCATGCTCCAGCCACAGTAAATTACTTAAAATTTTCCAAAAGTGGCTGCAACTCTGCCACCCCGATACTTCCTTTGTTATTTCCCTTATTCTGGTCATTTCCCCTTCATCTCTAAAACCGTCCTATCTGGCTAACTCCTTTTCACTCTTAATTTCCAGCATCTCCCCACTCCTAGCCTTTGCAATAGAAACTTAGCCCCCATCTCCTTCACTAGGAGCTTCCAAGTTACTCAAGAGCCTCCATGATGTTTTATTAAGCATTTCCATTAGTGCCTCTCATAGTGTGGGTTAAGTGATTATTTAATACCACAGGGAAAAATATTTTCTGATTAATGTTATCCTCTAAATCTTTTTCTAACTCCACAGGTAGGATGTGAACATAGCAGTATGGTAAGAGCAACAACTTGGGGTTTTATTTAGAAATAAATGGGATGGGAATGTGGCTTAGTGGAAGAGTGCCTGCCTAGCATGTATGAAGCCCTAGGTTTTGATTCCTCAGTACCACATAAACAGAAAAAGCCGGAAGTGGCTCTGTAGCTCAAGTGAAAGAGTGCTATCCTTGAGCAAAAAGAAGCTCAGGGACAATGTCCAGGCCCTAGGTTCAAGCCCCAGGCAAAAGGAAAGAAGGAAGGAGAGAGAGACACAGAGAGAGAGAGAGAGAGAGAGAGAGAGAAAGAAAGAAAGAGAAAGAAAGAAACTGCAATTCCATGGCAAGAAAACTAGCTATGTAAACATTGCTTGTTTGGTCTAGCTGGAGGCTAGCTGGGCTAGCCTCTGCAGTCCATGCCTTATTGCAAATGTGTGGAAGATGTGTGTGTGTGTTGTGTGTTGGTTCTGGGACTTAAATGCAGGGCCTGGGCACTGTGCCTGAGTATTTTTTGCTCAAGGCTATCACTCTGCAACTTGAGCTACAGTTCTGGTTTGAGCTTTTTGTTAGTTAACTGAAGATGAGCTTCACAGACTTTCCTGCCTGGGCTGGCTTTGAACTCAGATCTCAGTCTCCTGAGTAGCTAGGATTACAGTCATGAGTCATCAACACCTGGCTCTTTTTTCTCCCCTAAGTTACTAGTTTCAGTTGCTTTTTCATTCATTCTAAGACTAGAATGGCTCCTTCTTCTTGCTTCCTTCTTTCCAACACACGCATTCACATATGCATACACTAACCCATGTATTGGTGCAGACAATACTTTGAAAATATGTGAGCTTTGTACTAATTTCCCACAAGCTACCAGATGAGTTTTTTAATAAGCAGTCATGCTTTCGTGTGGTTTTCCACAAATAGTCAAATTTGAAGGAAAAGGAAAAACAAAAAATACTATGGCAACTAGCCCTTACCTCACATTCATCTCTAAAGTTACCTTTTAATTATTCATTTTATTTATAGCGTTTGATTATTCACTTCATTTAACATGACTTCGGACTAAAGTAGTGAGAAGTAATTTTTTACTTTGGACACTTAAGACTACTAATTTTATATCAGCAGTGTAACTAATTGGGTTTTACCTCTGCTGTTACAAGTAGCTAGCTATACTTACCTATTGTGAGGTCGTGAACAGGCTGGAATCGCTTGTCGGTAAACTGCAGGAGGAGACATGACTTGCCCACACCTGAAAGACCAGCAATTACGTTCCAGACGGCACGCGGCCAGGAGATGCAGTGCCCAGCTCCAGACTCAGCGTCAGGGGCTGAGGGAGGGGAGCCCAGAGCCCCGCCCCTGGCCAGCCGCCCCGCCCCCGCCCTCTAAATGAGCCCCGCCCCCGAGGCCCGATTTGGAAGCTTCAGAACCCTGTCCCGGCCTTGGAGGCGGACTACCTGCCGGTTACCTGTGTCTCCAATGATGATATACTTGAAGAGATAAGCATAAGTCATGGTCCTGGTTCCTCTGTATTCCGGGTCGGCCCGATTTCTACAACCACTTACCTTGGACCTCTCTATCCACTCAGTCTACAGATCTCCTCCCCACCACACTCCAGCCTCTCTAGCCCAGACCAACGTCTCTATTGTCCTCCCCAGAAAGCCTCTTGTCTCATTCCGAAGTACCCGACGCAGCATCCAGGGACGCCTCTAGCGCTTCTACCTGTCATTACCCTACCAAGCGCCAGGGGGCGGTAGCTAGCCTTTCCATCCGCTCAGAACGTGACTCCTTGCAGCCATATGATCTTCCTTCCAATCAGCAGTGAGCGACTCAGACCCTTGCGGAAGTGACGCAGTTCCGAGTCCAGTGGGGGCGGTGGGAGTGATGAGGGCACTGGGACGGTGGTAGCGGTTGTGTGAAGATGGAGGTAGGAACCTGGGTGCTGAGGAGGCTGGCGAGAGCGCGGCCGCCTGTGTTGAAACGCAGGCGTGTAGCCCGGCGGAGAGGCGGTTGGCGGGAGAGAGGAACGCTGGGTTTGGGGAGGATTGTCAGAATGTCCGTCGCTCCAGGCTAACTCCCTGCTCCGCCCTCTAACTCGTTCCCGTGTCTTTCTTCTGGTTTCCAGTTTCCCGGAGGAAATGACAATTACCTGACGATCACGGGGCCCTCGCACCCTTTCCTGTCGGGGGCCGAGGTGAGCAAGTGCTACCGACGCTGGGGAGGTGGGAGTTCGGAGGTGGGGTGGAGAGAGGCACCGAGGCCACGGGCTGGGCGCCTGGGGACCGCGATTGACGTCGCGGAAGGTGGCGGCGGCCTCCGGAGTCTGTGGGGACTGTTTGCGGAAGGCCCGGGAAGCTGCTGTCGTCAAAAAACCAGGATGTTGAAAGAAAAAAAAAAAACAACTAGTTGAGGAGATTGGGAGGTTCTAGATTGAAAACCAATGGAATTGGCCCCATTTCATTAGGTGAAGTACCTTCAAACATATGGGGATGGAAACAGTAAGAATGCCTTGAACATGGGTTCATTCGTGAATTCTCAGGTTTTTTTGCTTTTGTTTTTAGCTTAAATTTTCTACTCTGATAAACGTGGTAACTAGTAACTTGTTTTTAGTACGGATACTTGAGATCAGGATGTGGGTTCTGTGCCTCAGCTTTTGCTGCTGTCAAGGCTGGCACGCTGCCACTTAAGCCACAGCTCTACTTCTGACTTCGTTGTTGTTGGGTTTTTGTTTTTTGTTTTTTTTACTGGCTAATAGGAGATAAGAATCTTACAGACTTTTCTGCCCAAGCATGCTTCAAACAGCGAACCTCTTAGGTAGCTAGGATTACAGGCGTGAACCACCAAAAGCTTGTTTAAATTTTCTCATCAGATAAACATTGTAACTTTTATATACATAGTGTCAGCTTGCTTTGCTAACAACAGTAGGAAAGAAAATAGTTGCTAAGAGAACTTCTGAGGAGTTGCCAGTGACTCTATTTTGAGCACATTTCATATTTGTGGCACCATTTTCCCATAAATGAATGTCTGTAATAATAGTGTCTTATGCTGGTGTGACAAAGCATTAATGAATGTGGTGAAGCCCTAAAATACCTGAAAAGGTTTTTGTTGAAATACTGTCTTACTGGGCTGGGAAGGTGGCTCAGTGGTAGAGCGCTTGCCTTGCATGCCTGAGGCCCTGAGTTCGATTCCTCAGTACCACATAATCAAAAAGAAAAAAGCCGGATGTGGCGCTGTGGCTCAAGTGGTAGAGCGCTAGCCTTGAGCTGAAGAGTTGAGGGACAGCGCCCAGGCCCAGAGTTCAGGCCCCACTACAGGACCCCCCAAAAAAAAAAGAAAGAAAGAAATACTGCCTTTCCTTAAATACACCATTTGCTTAAGTGAAAGGTCAGACAAAAATTTCCCAGTTTTGGAGGCGCTGATGGCTCACGCCTGTAATCCTAGCTATTCAGGAGGCTCAGATCTGAGATCGCAGTTCAAAACCAGCCCGGGCAGGAAAGACCTTCAGATTCTTATCTCCAGCCACTCAGAAAACCGGAAGTGGTGCTGTGGCTCAAGTGGTAGAGTGCTAGCCTTGAGCTGAAGAGCTGAAGGACAGCTCCCAAACCCAGAGCTCAAGCCCCATGACCCGCCAAAAAAAAAAAAATAATAATCGCAGTTTTGAAAACTTCTTAAATCTTCTCTCCCCACCCCCACCGGTCGTGGGGCCTGAACTCTGGGCCTCGGCGCTGACCCTCAGCTCTTCAGCTCAAGGCAGCGGTCAACCACTTCAGCCACAGTGCCACTTCCAGCTTTTTCTGCTTATGTGGTGCTGTGGAATTGAACCCAGGGCCTCATGCAAGCAAGGCAAGCGCTCTACCACAGAGCCACCTTCCCAGCCAGAGAACTTATTAAATCTTGAGCCTTCTACTCTTTATGAGGTTTAAACTATATTTTCCTTTAGTGACATCACTCATTAGCATTTTCTTATACCAAAAATCTCAATTGTTCTTGTATGGACTTAGCCTAGAATAAATCCTAATATTTTATATATGACAATTACATTGACAATGACCAGTTGCTGTTTTTTTGTTGTTTGTTTTTATTGTTGCCATTCCTGGGACTTGAACTCAGAGCCTGGGCAGTGTCCCTGAACTTTGTTTTTTTTCTTTTTTGATGTCAGTCTTGGCGCTGAACTCTGGGCCTTGCCATTATCCCTGAGCGCTCTGTGTGTGTGTGTGTGTGTGTGTCAGTGTGTCAGTGTGTCAGTGTCAGTCTTGGAGCTTGAACTCTGGGCCTTGCCATTATCCCTGAGCTTTTTTTTTTTTTTTTTTGGTCAGTCTCTGGGCCTGGGTGCTGTCCCTGAGCGCTTCAGCTCAAGGCAAGTGCTCTACCACTTAAACCACAGCACCACTTCTGGTTTTTCTGGTGCTTAATTGGAGAAGAGTCTCACAGGTTTTTTTGCCCAGGCTGGCTTTGAACCTCTATCCTCAGATCTCAGCCTCCTTAGTAGCTAGGATTACAGGTGTGAGCCACTAGTGCCCAGCTCCCTGAGCTTTTTTTCCTCAAAACTAGCACTCTACCACTTAAGTCACAGCGACACTTCCGGCTTTTTCTGTTTATGTGATACTGTGGAATCAAACCTAGGGCTTTATGCATGCTAGGCAAGCACTGTACCATAAACCACATAGCCAGCCCTTGCTAGTTTTTTTTCTTTTTTAACTTGTTTCTTACTATTTAATAATAAGAATAGTAATTTCCCTCCTGAGCGAAGGGAAATGTGAATCAAATGAATAGCAAATTTAAATATAAAACTAAGATTTGTTAGCCTATTGCTGGCAGCTCATATAATCCTAGCTTCTTAGGAGGCAAAGTTCACTAGACTCTTATCTCCAATGAACCTCCCTCCTTCCCCCCCTCCACCCACCCCTCCACAAAAAAAGCCAGAAGTGGCTCAAGTGGTACAGTGCTACTCTTGAGTAAAAAAGCTCAGGGACAGTACCTAGGCCCTGAGTTCAAGCCTCAGGGCCGTCCCCTACAAAGGCCTAATATCTATTTGTTGCTTTGTCATCACATTGAAATTTCTTCTGAGTGAGGTTACTATTGTTTACTTTCATGGTTTGGAATATGAAACCTCACATTATAAATCTCACATTTCCCTAGATCTGGTCTCCACGGTTTTAATTCCATGGGTCTTATAAATTTCACATTGGCTTCATTCTTGTGAAAATGCACTTTAGGGCTGAGAATGTGGCTTAGTAGTAGAGTACTCACTTAGCACGCATGAAGCCTTGGTTTGATTCCTCAGTACCACATAAACAAAAAAAGCCAGAAGCTGTGGCTCAGTTGGTAGAATGCTAGTCTTGAGCAAAAGAAGCTCAAAGACAGTGCCCTGGCCCTGAATTCAAGCCCCAGGCCTGGCAAAAAAAAAAAAAAAAAATGCACTTTAAAATTAAATAAAAATAGCTTTACAAATATGTTCCCTTTTGGCTGGGAAGGTGGCTCAGTGGTAGAGCGCTTGCCTTGCATGCATGAGGCCCTGGGTTCGATTCCTCAGCACCACATAAGCAAAAAGAAAAAAAGCCGGAAGTGGTGCTGTGGCTCAAGTGGTAGAGCGCTAGCCTTGAGCTGAAGAGCTGAGGGACAGTGCCCAGGCCCAGAGTTCAGGCCCCACGACCGGACCCAAAAAAAAGGGGGGGGGGCTGGGCACTTGCTCAAGTCCTCTTTTATAAAATTGAACAGTCTACATTGAAAATATCTACATAAGACACTGATGTCTTTTTACATCCCCGGCACTGAAGGAAAAAAGAAAGAAGCCAGGCAATGGGCTTATTCTTGTAATCCCACCTACTCAGGAGGCTGAGATCTAAGGATCCTGGTTCAAAGCCAGCCTTGGCAAAAAGTCTGTGAGACTCTCATCTCCAATTAACTATTGCACATAAAAGCTCAACAAACACTGGGCAGGGGTGAGAGAAAAGCTGGTGGAGTGGCTCAAGTAGTAGAGTTACCTAGCAAGTATAAGGCCCTGAATTCAAGTCCCAGCAACACTATTAAACTGTCCACCTAGCTGAAGCCTTGGACCAATCCCCAGTACTGATATCTAATTGTCATTAAGCATATAGAAAAGTGTCATCCTCATCAAGGAAATAAATACCAATTGTAGTTATTGCGGGATTTAAAGTGTGCCTCAGGTGGTAGAGTGACAGCCATGGAGTGAAAGCATGTGGGATATACAAAGAAAAAAACAAGCCGGGCGCTGGTGGCTCACGCCTGTAATCCTAGCTACTCAGGAGGCTGAGATCTGAGGATCAAGGTTCAAAGCCAGCCCGGGCAGGAGAGACCGTGAGACTCCTATCTCCAATAAACCACCAGAAAACCGGAAGTGGCGCTGTAGCTCAAGTGGTAGAGCGCTCGCCTTGAGCTGAAGAGCTGAAGGACAGTGCCCAGGCCCAGAGTTCAAGCCCCCACGACCGACAAAAAAAAAAAAAACAATTATAGTCATTGAAAAACCAAATTCCAAGAGGTGAACAAGTTGAAGAAGTGGATAATGCAGTTAATGCTGTTAAGGGTATAAATTAACTCAAACACTTTGAAACATAGCAATGTCAATTAAAGATAAGCATGCCTAACCTATGTGACTTGGTAAGCCTAGTCATTCATATATACATAAAATATACATATAATCATATATGTAATCTGATATATATAGCAGAAATGAT